TTTACTTCAATAACTTACGTTAAAAGTCGATGTGTTAAACCAATCGCTTCCGGTTTACCATTTTTATAAAACATCCGACAGCTACTTTGAATCCAATATACACGTTGACTTCGCATGCTAATTAAGCGATAAATTAATATACCGCTTGCACCATTCTTTGTTACTGGAAATTTTTGCAAATTTTTAAAAATGAAGCTTTTTTTATTCATTTAATAAAATCTCTTCCTTCAATAAATTTTTGTCTTTTGTTCTTTTCGAATGATATATTATAATGGTCAGAGACCATTGAAGTTAAATTTTTCATTTAAATTACACTTTTTCACTAATTGCCTTCTTCCTCATTTACGAAAACATTTGCTTTTTACTTGTTTTTTTTTTTTAAAACATTCAAACACAATTCAGAAATTTTCTGATTTGTCAATATCACTAAATTACACTTTATTAATTGTAATTTTCGGGAATTTACGAATTGCTATGCAAAATGTCAAAAATTGCAAAAATACAGTTTTTGTAATTTAAGATTTTTTTTTTAGATTTTCACATGAAAAAATTGCTAAAAGCAAAAAAATGAGAAAAAAAGATTTTTTTAAATTAAATCTAAAAAAAATATATTGCATTCATGGCATCTGTTACAATGTTAAGGCTTAAAATCTGAATCCAAAACCGGCCATACGAATCGATACAGTGGTCATTGGTCATTTTATTCAATTCACTCGCCAATATCATATTTGAAAATTAATCAAAAAGACCTTCTTTATGTGCTTCAGCAAGACATGTCGCATCCTGCACATGGACTAAACTATAAAAGCTGTGTGGCAAATTCTTCTCATCCAATTCTAGCAAATCTCTGAAACGTTTAATCATTTAAAACAAAATCTACTATGAAAATTGATAGGAAAAAAGGAAGAAATTTTGTTAAATTTTTATTTTAAAAATTTTTGTAAAAACTAAAGATCAACTTCATTCGATTATCTGTTGAAGCAAGCGTAAAATCAAGAGAATGTTTCGTTTTCAAGATCGGATCATTCATTTGTTGTTGGTCAGCAATATTCGGTGGAACAAATGGACTAAAAATGATAAAATAATTGGAATTAGATAATTTATAATGCTTACTTCGAAATACATCTCAAATAAGTATTACATTCGAATGGGATCTTTCAAAATTTCCATGGATGATAAAATATTATGAAAATTTTCCGGATGGACGTTTGTTATCAGACATACCTACAAATGGCAACTAAACCGAGAACGATATTGCCGGATGAATGATTTTCAATCCTGTTTAGTACATAAGAATGCGGTAAACCGTGAAGACTCATCAACTTTCCACGTACGTCTATCCTCTACAAACAATAAGAAATTTTCAAATTTTCACTTTAACATTTTTCTGAGTTATTGTTAACAGCACATGAATTCATTTACATGTAGCCGTGTTTTGTTTGCTATGTAAAATTGATTTCAAAAAAAAAAAAAATTGAAACAGAACAGAAAACAAAACCAGAAATCCGCAAGTATTATCCAACAGACAACGAAATCGAGCATTAATATTTCGTTCCAAATAAGGCATACCACCTGAATATGAATTTTTTTTTTAAATGGAAGAGAAATCGATATTCTGAACGAAATAAATTGCAATATAAAATATTCATTGATAATTTGATATAATCAACTCTTACCAGGTGTTAAAATGTCCTGTAAACAGGTCACGTGAAGTGGAACATTGTAATTCCAAGCTAACTGTAATTTAACATCTTCTCGATCTTCCGAATGAATCATTTCAAATAACGATTGATGAAGAATATCCGACTGAAAAGGTATGTCATAATTTATTACCGTTTTTTTTTTCTGTTGAAAAGTAAATTAAACATAATTGCTAGAAGAATTATTCCCAGTTTAAAAGAATTAAGTTTCAAATTTTTACATATAATCACAATATTTCAATTAATTAATTAAGTGATGACATTGTTCAATGTTTTTTCCTCTGATTAATCACAAAACATCTCCATATCTTATCTGTTCACTAATTTAATAAAGATAGCTTGCTATCATCCATCATTAATTGCGTAACTTATATTTATTAAACTTTATTTTAGTTAGAAAATTTGTCAATAAAATAAAATTTACCTCAGAAATTAATTATCCTTACAGTATAATGTGGAATTAAAAATTAAGTGATTCAATTTTATTCTTAGTTACCTGATGAAATCCAAGGTAGGTTTCGATGTTTTCTGATACGTAATAAATATCACCATTTTCATTCAGTATCAAAATGAAACCACCAAGTGCCTAAAATTTTTCATCAAATCAAACAATACTTATTTGAAATTTAATAAATTTCAACAGTTGAAAGAAAATCAAAATTGAAGAGTGAAATTAAAACAATTTAATCTGTCACTAATGTGATAGACAGATGCTAAAATTGAGAAATGTCAAAACAATAATCAAAATTCGCTAAATCAAAAAAAAAAATCTCTGGTTAATACTCATCAATTCTTTCATATATTTAAAATATTGAAGTTAAAATTGAAAAAAGTGTAACCTTTAAGGCCATATTTTCGAAATGGTACTCATTTGGATCGATAAGAGACTGTCCGGAATGAATGGCTGTTGGAATGGCACCACCATACGGAATAGTCGTCGTATCGTTGGTTGGAATGAACGGATAACTGTGAGCGAATGCGAATGGAAAATTTGAGATATATCGATGTAAGCATGCTGAAATTTAGGTCAGTTATGAGTTAAATTTAATGATTTTACGTGAACTAAAAGTGTCACATAGAAGTTACTGATAATTTAAAACACAATAAATATACTAACTTAAATAGGTTGGGATAAAATTTATTATGAATTTTAACTTAATTCTAACAGTATTATAAAGTATTCTAAAATACATTTTATTAATTTCATATTCAAGTTTGAAAAAATTCTTGTTTTGGCAATTTGAAAAATACAAAACGAATTTAATAAATTAAATAAAATTCAGCAACTAAAATTTTAAGTTTAGAAAAAATTCGTATTAAATTTAGCAGGTTTATAGAATTTCTTTCCTCCAAATCCCTGAATATGTCGTGCGAATAATAACTTTAAAGCAATTAAATATTTCTTCGTTTTAACTTCAAGTGCTATTTTAAAATGAAATTAATTTTGTTAGCATACTTTGCGTGCTCTAAGTTTATAAATTATATTTAGATCACCGAATAATGCTTTACAATTATGAATAACTTCAAAAAATTCATTCAAAATTACTTGAAGTCACTGATATCCTGTTTAAATTAGTTTTGGATAAAAAATTAAATAAGGCATGCTCAAATTAATTTTAAATAAAAAAAACATAGGAAAAGATTTTTTTTAATTGTTTATTTCATTTGCAATATGATATCTATTAAAATTTATTTTTTTGCTTCACTTATTCAGTTTATCGATACTGAATATTGATTATTTAAAAATAGTAA